CAATCACCGCGATTTGACTAGGGTGCGGTGAATAAGTCGTCAGGACTTTGTAACATATGTTAATAACATGGCGCGCTCCGAAGCCCTTTTTAACAGGGTTATTAACAGTTAATAACATTTAGTTTGAAACGGGTTAATTACATGTTAAAAAGACATATCAACATTGTTAAAAACACTTTTGCAGTTTAAAATGCCTGGTAGGCCTCCACTGCACTCTCCGGGAGCTGTTTGACGTGCACTTTGCAAGCTGAAGTACATTAGGGGGTCTTTGCAACATGATGTCCCAGTGATATTTGACTTACGGGTACGGTCCTCTACCGGTGCATGGTGGATTCCAGGCTGCCGATAGGGGGGGTTTTTAACACCCAAATTGGCCTTGCCTAGAGGGGTCTGTTAATAACATGTTATTAACCTGTTATTAACAGCAGTTTATAACAGTGTAAATAATGAGCGACTTTTACACCGCACCCTAGATTTGACCGGCGTTGACGGCCGTACTATCACGTGATTAATAATACCGGGACATTCCTGGGGCCACGCCAAAAAGTTTGGGGCTGGGGGCGCTAAGACTGAGGCTCGTATAAAAAATACTGCAGAGCGGTCGCTGGCACCGTAACAGTACTTGTCGGTTGCCCTGTACGTCGTGGACACGACACCGACCATCATGACTGCACCCAACGGCCATGCCGTTCGCCACGACGACCACGAGATACACATACGCCCCGTCGTCATCCATAGCGGGCCCATTAGAGTGAGTTGTTTGTTTTAAGACGGGTTGCTGGCGTTTGCTGACGCGTCGGGCAGTTAACGATCCCAGTGTCTACCGAGACCGACCAGTGGATCGCCGCCGAGGTGCTCAGAGACGAGTTCGTGCACCACCAAAAGACCCAGGACGCCATAGACAACACCATAGAGCTCGAGAACGAGATAGAGGCGACGGTCGAGCTGTTCGCCCGCTTCCTTGGCTTCACTGCCCAGAAGCTCAACGAGGAGTGCGACTCGAAGAAGGCACGCACGTCCGTGCTCTTCCACGCGCTCAAGCATTTTACTGCGTCCTACCTGAGCGACAAGGACATCCACACGCTCACCGCAAAGTACGATACCGACTCCCGCAGGACCGTAATCGCATCCTACTACCAGACTATCGCAGCTCTCGAGGCGCAGAGCGTCAGCGACATCCCGCGCTCGTCTAATTCAGCACTATTCTCCGCGGCCAAGGAGGGCCGCGCATCTATCTACGCCTTGTTCGGTGGACAGGGCGCTAATGAAGTCTACTTCGATGAGCTCCAAGCGCTCTATGATATGTACAAGCCCTACGTGGCCCCCTTCCTGGCAGACGTGACCAGCAAGGTCCTCCTTCCCCTCGCAGCAGCCTCTGAATCCACGGCATTCTACACACATGGTTTGGACGTAGTCTCCTGGCTCGATGGCAGCGCGACGCGACCCTCCACCGCATACCTCGCGTCGATCCCCCTGTCGTTGCCTCTCATTGGCCTGACGCAACTCACCCAGTACTTCGTTGTATGCCGGACATCCCGCTTGAGTCCTGGCGAGCTGCGGGACGCGCTGAAGGGTGCCACCGGGCACTCACAAGGTGTCGTGTCTGCCGTTGCCATAGCCGCTTCAACGACGCTAGAGTCGTTCTACGAGAACTCTCGCAAAGCCTTGAAATGGCTGTTCTTCTGCGGCCTGCGTGGCCAAGAAGCGTTCCCGGTGGTTGCGCTCGAGCCGCACATTGTTCAAGATTCCATTGAGGGCGGCGAGGGCGCGCCTTCGCCCATGCTCGCGGTAACCGGTCTCTCCCTGAAGGACCTCGAGGTGCACATCAACAAGACGAACAAGCACCTCGCCGACAACTCCAAGCTATACGTCTCGCTGCACAACGGTCCCAAAGCATTCGTGGTTACCGGCCCTGCGAAAGCTCTGTACGGGTTAGTGACGCACCTGCGCAAGGTGCGCGCGCCTAGCGGGCTGGACCAGAGCAAAATCCCGTTCTCCCAGCGCAAGCCCGTATTTTCAGTACGGTTCCTCGTCGTCAATGTTCCGTATCACAGCCCCTACCTGACGGGCGTCACCGAGAGGATGTGCAGCGAGGATTTAGCGGGCGAGGAGTTGTGGAAGGGAGAGGAATTGGGAATTCCCGTGTACCATACGGAAGATGGTTCGTGGTACTATATCCTGACCGTCGCACCTTACTTATCCTCTCTACAGGCTCTGATCTGCGACAGAGCGAGTCGATCACCAAGTCTCTCTGCGAGCAAATATTCACCCAGCCGATCCACTGGACGGTCGCAACCGGTTTCCCAAATGACGCGACTCATGCCGTGGACTTCGGCCCCGGTGGGTTGAGCGGTATCGGCCCGCTTACTGCCCGCAACCTCGAAGGGCGCGGTGTCAGGGTGATCGTACTCGGTGACAAGGGTCAAGGGGTGTCGGAGCTGTACGAGACGAAGAGTATCAAATACCAGGACTGGTGGAGCACCAAGTGGGCGCCGTCTCTGGTTAAAACCAGGTATGTTGCTGTCCCAGTGGTAAACATATGAAACAAGCTAATTCACGTTCTTGCAGTGATGGTCAGATTCACCTCGACACGCCCTTTTCCCGCCTCTTGGGCAAGCCTCCCATCATGGTCGCGGGCATGACGCCGACCACTGTCAAAGCAGGCTTCGTCAGCGCGGTCCTCTCCGCTGGTTATCACATCGAGCTGGCTGGTGGAGGCCACTACAACGCGAATGCGCTGCGTGCCAAGGTTGCAGAGATCCAGGCGAACATCCCGGCGGGCGTTGGTATCACGCTTAACGCCCTCTACATTAATCCCCGGCAGTTCAACTTCCAGTACCCTCTGTGGCAGGATATGCGCCACGAGGGCCTCCCGATTGAGGGTTTCTGTGTCGCCGCTGGCATTCCGTCTACGGAGAAGGCGGCCGAAATCATCGATGGCCTGAAGGCAGCGGGAATCAAGCACGTAGCCTTCAAGCCCGGCTCCGTCGAAGGCATACGCCAAGTTATCAGCATCGCCGCTGCTAATCCTGACTTCCCTATTATCATGCAATGGACAGGTGGTCGGGCGGGAGGCCATCATTCGTGCGAGGACTTCCACCAGCCCGTACTGGCGACTTACGGCGCCATCAGGCGTCACGAGAATATCATCTTGGTTGGCGGCTCTGGATTCGGTGGGGCCGACGACATTTGGCCGTACCTCACTGGTGATTGGTCCGTGGCTTACGGCGTGCAGCCTATGCCGTTCGATGGGTTCTTGTTCGCAAGCCGTGTCATGGTGGCGAAGGAGGCGCACACTAGCTCGTCCGTGAAGGACCTGATTGTAGCTGCGTCGGGTGTCGACGATGCTCAGTGGGAAGGCACCTACAGCAAGGAGACGGGCGGGATCTTGACTGTTCGCTCCGAGCTCGGTGAGCCCATCCATAAGATTGCGACTCGAGGTGTGAAGTTGTGGAAAGAGTTCGACGACACGGTGTTTGCCCTGCCGAAGGAGAAGCGCATCACCTGGCTGAAGGAGCGTCGCGCGGAGGTCATCGCTAAGTTGAACAAGGACTTCCAGAAGCCGTGGTTCGGATGGAAGAAGGATGGCAGCGTCGCAGAGGATCTAGGCGACATGACCTACGAGGAGGTCGCGCTTAGGATGGTACGGCTGATGTACGTTGCGCACGAGTCGCGGTGGGTCGATCCTTCATTGCGGAACCTCACTGGTGACTGGCTACGTCGCGTGGAGGAACGCTTCGCTGGTGTCAACGGAGGCCTGAAGCCCTCTATTCTGCAGTCATACTCTTCCCTCAACGAGCCCGCGCCATTCCTCGAGCAGTTCTTCAATACTTATCCCTTGGCGAAGGAACAGCTCTTGGCTTCGGAGGATAGCGCTTACTTCCTTGCCATTTCGCAACGCCCTGGCCAGAAGCCAGTGCCTTTCATCCCGGTCCTTGACGCAAGTTTCGAAGTGTGGTTCAAGAAGGTACGCCCAATCGCTCCTTAGTGCAATTAGTCTCCTAATTTCATTTCCCTTAGGACTCCCTATGGCAGGCAGAAGACATTGAGGCGGTCTTCGACCAGGACCCTCAGCGTGTCTGTATTCTCCAAGGTCCTGTTGCCGTCAAGCATTCGACCAAGAAGGATGAGCCCATCAAGGAGATGCTAGACAACATTACGGCGTCACTTGTGTCAAAGCTTCTCGAGCGTCGATATGATGGCGATGTCAACAAAGTCCCGACGGTCGACTACCTCGCCCCACCGACTAGAGGTCAAGACATTGCTGGATTGGAGTGCGAGGAGGACGGCAACAAGTTAACGTTCCGCTTTGGCTCCAGCCTGCCTGACAAGGCGGCTTGGCTTGAGTTCCTTGCTGGACCCCGCCTTACTTGGCTGAGGGCTCTGCTCACCTCTCCATTGGTTGTCCAGGGCCCGTCTTACGCTGACAATCCCATGAAGCGTCTTTTCACGCCTCGAGTGGGTCAGACTGTGACGTTGACATTGGGAGACGACCATGTTCCCGTTTCCCTTACCGCCCACGGCGCGGCTCGGTCGCATGGGAAGCATAAGGAACTTTTCAAGGCTGTCGAGGTTCGGTATAACGCTTCCGACAAGGCCATTGAAGTCGTGATCTACGAAGACCGCCGCGACACTGCGGTTCCTCTTCAGCTCCAATTCAACTACGTTCCTTCCATGGGCTACGCACCCATCCATGAGGTCATGTCCGACCGCAACCATCGCATCAAGTCTTTCTACTGGAAGCTCTGGTTCGGCGATGACTCGGAAATGCCTGCTTTGGATGTCCGAGAGCGCTTTACCAGCCCCGAAGTTACTATCTCTTCGAGCGATGTTGAGCGCTTCTGCGCGGTAGTTGGGAACCAAACTGAAAGCTTCAAGCCCGCAAGGACGGAGAATGTCATGGCCCCAATGGACTTCGCCATCGTCACGGGCTGGCAGGTAAGTCGCCATCATCAGCCAGTCTTCTGCGGAAGAATGCTAAGGTCATCTGCTGTAGGCTATCATGAAAGCCATCTTCCCTGCCGCCATCGATGGTGACCTCCTGAAGCTGGTACACATGTCCAACGGCTTCAAGATGGTGGCTGGTGCGGAGCCTCTACGGGCTGGTGATGTCTGTACTGCCGAAGCGGGCATCACTTCCATCCGGAATACGAACGCGGGTAAGGTCGTGAAGGTGTCAGGCTACGTCCTACGCGGCGGACAGCGTGTAGTGGAGGTCATATCCTCCTTCCTCTATCGCGGTCGTTTCTTGGACTTCCAGAACACATTTGAGATTGTCGAAGAGCCTGACTACGTGGTCGACCTCCCTACCGAAGCGGACGTTGCTGTGCTGCTATCGAAGGAATGGTTCGAGTGGGGTGACGATTCGAAACCTCTGAAGGCTGGCACCGCGCTGGTCTTCCGCGTGAAGTCTGAGGTTACATTCAAGAACGAGACATCATGTTCCTCAGTCTCTGTGTCCGGTGATGTCTTCGTCCGCGACCAAATCAAGCGTCTCGTCAAAGTCGCGTCTGTTGAATTTGAGCAGGAAGACTGCCCTGGCAATCCTGTTGTCGCCTATCTTCAGAGATCGGGGACTCCGCAGGGATTGATGACCCCTCTTCCGAATGAAGGATATACGATGGCATCTGGTCCAATTCCTGCGACCTTCATCGCCCCCTCCAGCAATGAGCCATATTCTTCTGTCTCGGGCGACTTCAATCCTATCCACATCAATCCATACTTCTCTGACTATGCGGCTCTCCCTGGTACTATCACTCACGGGATGTGGTCAAGTGCAGCAACGCGACGTTTCGTGGAGAATGTCGCCGCTCAAGGTCGCCCCGAGAGAGTCATCTCGTAAGTGCAGTTTCGCGCATCTTCTGACCGGGTTCGCGCTGATATTCCCCTAGCTATGATGTTGCATTCGTAGGAATGGTGCTCCCCGGAGACGTTTTGCAGGTCAAACTTCGCCACATAGGCATGCGGGCCGGCAACCTAGTCATCAAGGTTGAGACAATCAACGAGCAGGGGGAGAAGGTCCTGGAGGGCACTGCCGAAGTTGCCCAGCCCACCACTATATACGTGTTCACCGGTCAAGGCTCCCAGGAGCCCGGAATGGGTATGGACCTGTATAACAACTCTCCTGCTGCTCGTGCCGTTTGGGATGCCGCTGACGCACATCTGCTTGACGTCTACGGCTTCTCCATTGTTGAGATCGTGAAGAACAACCCGAAGGAGAAGACGATCCATTTCGGTGGTATCAGAGGCCAGGCAATCCGTCAGCGTTATATGGAGATGTCCTATGACACAATGGACAAAGACGGCAACATCAAGACTTTGCCACTCTTCGCGGACATTAATGTCCGAACCCAGCGCTACACTTTCAGTCATCCGTCTGGTTTGTTGTTCGCAACGCAGTTCGCCCAGATTGCCCTCGTCGTAACGGAGAAGGCTGCGTTTGAAGACATGCGGGCCAAGGGCTTCGTTCAGAAAGACTGTGCCTTTGCGGGCCATTCCCTAGGAGAGTATTCCGCCTTGGCTTCCATTGCTGATGTCCTCCCGATCTCGTCCCTCGTTGATGTTGTCTTCTACCGTGGAATCACCATGCAGCGAGCGGTCGAGCGTGATGCTGAGAATCGTTCGAATTATGCTATGTGTGCTGTCAATCCCAGCAGGATCAGCAAGACATTCACGGATGCGGCACTGCGTGAAGTTGTTGAGACCATATCGCAACGTACTGGATGCTTACTGGAGATCGTCAACTACAATGTCGAGGTATGATTGCTTCACGCATTTTTTTCATAACTCCACTCACTCTGCGACTCCATGTAGGGTCAACAATACGTCTGTGCTGGCGAACTGGTGGCCTTGCAGACGGTCACGAATGTATTAAATTACCTCAAGGTCCAGAAGATCGACATTTCTAAGGTATGGACTTCTTTTAGCCATTATCCATATTCTGTCCTGACTCCCGCTCCCAGTTGACTGAGACTTTCACTATTGAACAAGTGAAGGAAATGCTGGGCGAAATTGTAGACAACTGCTACGCGAAAGCGCTGGAGCTTCAAAAAGCCCAGGGATATCTTCAGCTTGAACGTGGCTTTGCGACCATCCCTCTCCCCGGTATTGATGTACCCTTCCACTCTCGTTATCTTTGGGCAGGCGTGATGCCATTCCGTGCATGTGAGTAGTCCATCGGCCGCAAAATTCACCCATCTCATTACATTCCAATAGATCTCTCAAAGAAGATCGATGCAACCCACCTCAACCCTGACATGCTCGTGGGCAAATATGTTCCTAACCTCGTCGCGAAGCCATTCGAAGTGTCGAGGGATTACGCCCAACTCATTTACGATCAGACTTCCTCGCCTCGCCTCGACAAGGTTCTCAGAAAGTGGGATGAAGAGCACTGGGACAGTCCCGAGCAGAGGCAAAAGCTAGCATATATTATCCTCGTGGAACTTCTGGCCTACCAATTCGCATCTCCTGTGCGTTGGATCGAGACCCAGGATATCTTCTTCGCGAAGTATAAATTCGAGCGCTTGATTGAGATCGGGCCTTCACCAACTCTTACCGGCATGGCTACTCGTACGCTGAAAGCCAAGTACGAGGCTGAAGATGACTCTGTCGGTCGCTCTCGTTCTATCCTCTGTCACGCCAAACATGCTAAGGAGATCTACTACCAATACGAAGACGAGCCGGAAGCCGTCTCTGTTGAAGAATCAAACGCGGATTTTACTGCTACGGAACCTGCTCCTTCTGCGTCCACTCCCGCGCTGGTCTCCGCGCCGGCCGCTGCCCCCCCATCAGTAGCTGCCAGCATCGAGGATGTCCCCTTGAAGGCGTCCGAAATCTTGATTACAGTCATTGCTCAGAAGCTGAAGAAGAAGATTGACGAGGTGCCGCTTTCCAAGTCCATCAAGGATCTTGTCGGGGGAAAGAGTACTTTGCAGAACGAGATCTTGGGCGATCTTCAACTGGAATTCTCATCAGCTCCCGAGAAAGGCGAGGAACTGTCCCTCGAGGAGCTCAGCTCAGCCCTCGCCGTTGGCCACTCTGGCGCTCTGGGCAAATATACCTCGGGCTTAGTGTCTCGACTGGTGGGCGGAAAGATGCCGGGAGGTTTCAACATCTCTGCGATCAAGTCGTACCTTGCGAAGAGCTGGGGACTTGGACCGGCGCGAGCAGACGGTGTACTCCTCTTGGGTACTACGATGGAGCCGCCCAAACGCCTGGGATCTGAAGCAGAAGCGAAGACCTGGTTGGACTCTGTTGTATCGGTATACGCACAGCGCTCTGGCATATCTCTTTCGGCTGCTTCGGCTGGTGGCGGAGGTGGTGGAGGCGGTGGCGGCGCCGTCATCAACAGCGAGGAGTTCCTCAAATTCCGGAGTGAACAAGATCAATTTGTGTCCCAACAGATCGAGGTTTTCATGCGATACTTGAAGCGAGATCCTAGAGCGGGCGAAATTGCATATGACAAGGAGAAAGCGAATTCTGCCGTGCTCCAAGGTCGCTTGGACAACATCGTCAGGGAGCATGGAGATGTTTATCTAGATGGAGTTCAACCTGTCTTCGACCCTCTGAAAGCGCGTCATTTCGATTCGTCATGGAACTGGGTTCGTCAAGATGCATTGTTGATGTTTTACGACATCATCTTCGGTCGCCTAACTGCGATAGACCGCGAGATCACTGCTCGCTGCATTGCTATCATGAACCGAGCGGATCCTGAGCTCATAAACTATATGCAGTACTATATTGATCGATGCGATCCCACTCGCGGCGAGACGTACGCCCTTGCGAAGCAATTCGGTCAGCAATTGATCGACAACTGCTTGGAAGTTGTGGGACAGCCGCCGAGATACAAGGATGGCAAGTGTCTCGAGCCTCCCTGCTACGTATGCAGCTGACTCTTAATTCCAGTGACATTCCCTACGGCTCCGCACACCGAGGTCACAGACAAGGGTGACATCGTTTACAAGGAGGTAGTGCGCGAGAACGTCCGCAAGTTGGAAGCGTATGTGGAGGAGATGGCGAGCGGTGACACGATAGCGGGATCTCTCAACATCCAGAAGGTTCAAGACGACGTTCTCCGACTATGGAACGTGGTGAAGTCTCAGCCTGAGATTACGGAGGAGCAAAAGAATCGTATCAAAGCTCTGTATGAAGGCGTGGTCCGCTCACTCCGGAAAGGCTCCGACGCACGGCCACGCACTACTGGTGCACCGAGAAAGCGACGCTCGTCGTCCCAGTTCCTTCGTCCTTCAGTTTCCAGCATCGCGTCCGTTTCTTCCGACAAGGTGCCGCTTCTGCACTTGAAGCGGAAGGTTGGTACAACTTGGGAATATAGCAGCAACCTAACTGGCGTGTATCTCGACGTCTTGCACGAAATTGCGACGTCTGGAACCACCTTCAAGGATAAGAATGCCCTTCTGACCGGCGTCGGCAAAGGCTCCATTGGAGTAGAGATCGTCAAGGGCTTGCTCTCCGGTGGTGCACACGTCGTGATCACTACCTCGCGGTACAACCGTTCCACCGTGGAATACTATCAAGGGATCTTCCAGAGGTTCGGGAGCAGAGGCTCGGCTCTCACAGTTGTACCCTTCAACCAAGGCTCCAAACAGGACGTACACGCTCTTGTCGACTATGTCTACGAGACACTTGGTCTGGATCTGGACTACATCTTGCCTTTCGCTGCCATCCCTGAGAATGGTCGCGAAATTGATAGTTTGGACGACAAGTCGGAGCTCGCCCACAGGATCATGTTGGTCAACCTCCTGAGACTACTCGGTGCGGTGAAGGTGAAGAAAGCAAGCCGGCACATCGTCACGCGCCCTACTCAAGTCATTCTACCGTTGTCACCGAACCACGGGCTGTTCGGAAATGACGGTCTGTATTCGGAATCGAAGATCTCCCTCGAGACGTTGTTCAATAGATGGAATTCCGAGAGCTGGGGAGAATATCTTGGCCTGTCCGGAGCTGTTATCGGGTAAGTGAACCATCTTTTAGTGTCTTGTCTTACTCACGTTATGTAGATGGACTCGTGGTACCGGCCTCATGGAGGCCACAAGCATGGTCGCTCAAGAAGTGGAGCGTCATGGTGTCCGCACCTTCTCGGCGAAGGAGATGGCCTTCAATATCCTGGGTTTGATGCATCCTCTCTTGTTCAGCATTACCCAAGTCGAACCAATCTGGGCTGATCTCAGCGGAGGCATGGATCGCCTCCCTGACCTTGCTGAATTGACAACGCGAATCCGCTTGGATATCAACAAGAAGAGCCAGTTGCGCCGTGCCATCGCTCGGGACAATGCCGCCGATTTCAAAGTGACCCATGGCCTTGAAGCAGAGCGTGTTCTGCAGACGGTCAATGTCACCCCTCGAGCCAACTTCCGATACGAGTTCCCGACTCTTGAGGACGCCGACTCCTTGGAGGATGTCGCCAAGCTGCGTGGTCTGATCGACCTTGACAAAGTTATCGTCGTCACTGGATTCGGCGAAGTAGGACCTTGGGGTAGCTCAAGGACTCGTTGGGAGATGGAGGCAAGAGGAGAGCTCACGCTTGAAGGCTGTATCGAGATGGCCTGGATGATGGGGTACATCAAGCATTTCGATGGCCGGTTGCCCGACGGCTCTCTGCACGTTGGCTGGGTTGACGCGAAGAGCGGAGAGCCCGTGGACGACAAAGACGTCAAAGCCAAGTATGAAAAGGATATCATTACGCACGCAGGCGTTCGACTCATCGGTAAATATTCGTATAATTCCATCGCCATCACACGCTAATTGCTTCGAATAGAACCTGAACTGTTCCGTGGGTATGACCCTAAGAAGAAGGTCTTCCATCAGGAAATTGAGCTGCTTCATGATCTGGAGCCCTTTGAAGTGTCGGCCGCTGAGGCGGAGAAGTTCAAGTTCGAGCACGGAGATAAATGTGACGTGTGGGCTGGTGAAGGCGATCAGTGGCTCGTCAAGCTCAAGAAGGGGACGCGTGTTTTGGTTCCGAAGGCCTTCAAGTTTAGCCGTTCCGTCGCTGGTCAACTGCCAACCGGTTGGCATGCGGGCCGGTATGGTATTCCTGAAGATATCATCGCTCAAGTAGACCGGTGCACTCTGTGGACACTTGTGGCCGCTGCCGAGGCCCTAAATATGTCGGGTATCACCGATCCCTACGAATTGTATCAGTACGTGCATCCCTCGGAGGTGGGGTCGAGTATTGGCAGTGGTATGGGTGGTGTAGAGAGTCTGCAAAAGATGTTCAAGGACCGACGAGAAGAGAAGGAAGTCCAGAACGATATCCTGCAAGAGACGTGAGCACTTCAATATATCCCTAGGTATCCGTTACTCACGTTCAATGATAGGTTCATTAATACCACTGCTGGTTGGATCAACCTCTTGCTGCTATCGTCGAGTGGGCCTATCAAGATCCCCGTGGGTGCTTGGTACGTCCCGTTCCATTCTTGAGACGATCGTCTCTCATGCCGAAATCTAGTGCCACTGCCCTTCAATCTCTGGAGATCGCTTGCGACACGCTCCTTTCTGGAAAAGCTAAAGTTATGCTTGCCGGAGGCTTTGATGACATGAGCGAGGAAGGGTCCTACGAGTTTGCGAACATGAAGGCTACCAGTAACGCCGAGACCGAGTTCGCTATGGGTCGAGAGCCCACCGAAATGTCTAGGCCAGCCACGACCACGCGCGCCGGTGTAAGTGACCGTGCAATGTCTGCATGGAACTTCACCTGATCTAATTGGTCACCCGTTGTAGTTCATGGAAGCTCAGGGTTCCGGAGTGCAGGTAGTAATGAGTGCGAGAACCGCGTTGGAGTTAGGAGCACCGATCCGTGCTGTTGTCGCCTTCACGTCGACGTCCACGTAAGTCCGCTTGGTATCATTCCATACGTAGATGACTGAGATGTTATTAGTGACAAGGCTGGCCGTTCCGTGCCAGCTCCTGGGCGAGGTGCTCTGACCGTTGCCCGAGAGGTTCCGTCGAAACATCCTCTTCCCATGCTGGACGTAACATACCGCTCTCGTCAACTCGCCTTCCGCCGTAAGCAAATCTCGCAGTGGTTATCCAACGAGCATGAACTGCTTCGCGCCGAAGTGGAGTTCAGGAAGGAGCACGGCGAGGACGTGAATGAAGAATATCTTGCTAGCCGCGTCGCCGACATTGAGCAGGAGGCTGCCCGTCAAGAGAAGGACGCTCTTGCCACTTACGGTATGTTGCAAGGGGCTGACCCTCGCGTGGCACCGATGAGACGGGCGTTGGCTGTGTGGGGCTTGACGGCCGATGATATCGGTGTCTTGTCCATTCACGGCACAAGCACGGGCGCGAATGTAAGGATATGCCGTTTACCTCGTCGTTTCGTTTCTCACTTTTGCCATAGGAAGCGAATGAGACTCATATCTGGAACGATGTCTTAACTAAGATCGGAAGGACTCCAGGGAACGCTGTACCCATCATGGCTCAGAAGAGTCTAGTGGGCCACGCAAAGGGTGGTTCAGCAGCATGGCAGGTGATTGGACTGGTGCAAAGCGTAGCCTCTGGCATCGTTCCCGGGAATCGTAATAACGAGTATGTGCCCTCGTATTGTGGCTGCTCTGGAACTTGCTGATGTCTGTGTAGCAACGTGGACTCTGCTTTCCAGGAGTACTCTTTGCTACTTTTCCCTTCGAAATCCATTCACACTGATGGCATCCGCGCCGGTGTTATGGTAAGCATGTCTTCCTTAGTCTCTTGTACTTGGTCTGACGTAGTGTCAGTCGTCGTTCGGATTCGGCCAAGTTGGTGGTACCGCTCTCATCGTCCATCCTCGCTATCTGTTCGGCGCTCTTGAACCATCTACCTATGAGTCTTACAAGGCTCGCAATCGCCTCCGATCTCTGCAATGCTATAAGGCGATGAGCGACATGATGATTAGGAATTCGTTGGTGAAGATCAAAGATGGTCCCCCGTACTCCAAGGACCTTGAAGCTCCAGTGCTTATGAACCCGATGGCCCGGACAACATTCGATTCTAAGAGCAGTAGTTACTCTTTCTCGGCCAAGCTGGACACAAAGCCACCGATGGATGTGTCGAATGTGAAGACCGTGTCCGAGTTGCTCAACTCTACTGGGTCTGTCGCCGGAGTAGGTGTCGACCAAGGTACGAAGTCACGTCTAGCAATTCAGTCGTAATGAAATTATAACGTCTGTTTGTCCTATAGAACTTATTTCTTCCGTGCCATCTTGGAATCCTACCTTCGTTGAACGCAACTTCACTCCCTCGGAGGTGGAGTACTGTCGTTCGCAGCCGTCCCCTCCGGCATCCTTTGCCGCGCGTTGGGTTGGTAAAGAAGCTATCTTCAAGGCTCTTGGTGTGGCGTCGAAAGGCGCTGCTGCTGCAATGAAAGATATAGAGATCTTACCTGATCCCGAGACTGGGGCGCCGCAGGTCCAGCTTCATGGTGATGCCAAACAAGCGGCCGAGGCAAAGAAGATCGAGAAGGTCTTGGTGTCTTTGAGTCATTCTGAGGTATGTGTTCTAAGTACCATGGCAGTGTTGTTGAGTAACGCTAATTGCTTGGTATAGACGGTGGCTATCGCTTTCGCTCAAGCGTCGACGTCCGCATAGCTTTCTCCATTTCATTATTCTTGTGCTAGGGTCTATGGTGTCGTCAGGTTTTGAAATCACACGCGTTAGATGGATATTTCACGGATTTACATTAATGTCTTGCATGTCGTCTGAATGCTATCGTCCATTGTATTTTACATCTCGCATAACGATCCATAGAGGAAGGGTTACCTTATACCAATTCCATATCAGCTCTACATACGTGCCTAAGCCTGAGGATGTTTGGCTGTTGCGAACTCAAACTGCTGTTCTTCACTGCTACCATCTGAGCCGTTGACACTCCAAGGCACGTCGAAGGGCGAGACTGACGGCCAAAGACCTGTTTCGCACGTAACCGGTAACCTTTAGACTGGCGGCCAATGCAAGGGGCGATGTATACTGAGGTACAGACGGCTGGTATGAACGTAATGCTGACTAGCCCGACCCACTTAGATCTGACTCCTCTATGCAACTCGATCAACGAATGCCTCTGGTTCAGAGACCACCTCATGTCATTTTCTCCAGTCTATATATGAGCCTCTGATCTCTGTCTCGTCCTTCTGCGCATGCTTCTACCCTTCAAGATTGTCTTGTCAAGGTCATAGTTGTCTCTGTCAACAAGCATCCTATGTACTTGAGCCCCTCCCTGGCTGCTTTCTAAATCTGCCGCCATCACAAGTTTCGGAGGTTCGACCACGCCCGTCTGCTCTGTAATCCGCCCGTAATGCTCAGTTCTTCTGTGTTTTTCGAATGCGAAAATCTTTTCTTTTCCCTGTCGACACAACTCCAAGTCGCATTCGGCAATAACCAACTCGTCCCCCAGAGTCTTAGCCTCCGCCAGAAGCTGCCCCTCCGGATCGACTATGCAACTCCCTGCGATGAGCTTGTGCTTCCCGTCGTCATACCCCGATCTTGCGGCTGCTAGCGAATACGTGGCATTGGTATAGGAATGAGCTTGCATGACTAACTTGTGGTGGAACAAAGCCATGCGCTCAGACTCCTCTGGATCCAAGGACTTAGGAGTATGATGGCCGAAAGCCGGAGTGTTGAACCCAACCAGTACGATCTCAACACCTTGTAAACCCAGCACTCTCCAGGACTCTGCCCAGCGCCGATCGTTGCATATCATCATGCCGAATATGGGGTCTCCGCGCTCTACCAACGACCCTCCCTCTTCTAATCCAGGGACGCGAAAGGCTTGAAAACCTAAGTCGCCGGGTTCGAAGTACCTCTTCTCGAGATGGTGAACTGCATTAGGATCATCCGACGGTTCAAACGTCCCTGGAAGATGAACCTTCCGGTATTTGCTCAATACTCGGCCTTCACGTCCACTGAAGTAGACGCATGTATTGAAATGCTTCCCTTCGTCCGTGGCCTCTGCATAACCGACACAGATATCGATCTGCAGCTCTTTCGCCTTGTCAAATAGCGGGCGTGTCTCTGTGTTGGTGGTCACATCCCCGTGCTCGAACCAGGACTCCAGTTCTTGCTCGTCGTTGATGAGAAAGCGCGGAAAGAAAGTGGTAAACGCAAGTTCTGGGAAGAGTACGACTTGTACTTCTTCGGCTGCTGCACTCTCTAGAAGAGTGATCATGCGTCCGACTACATGAGTGCGACTGTCGGTGCTATGAATTGCTCCGAGTTGTGCTGCGGCGAGACGGAGAACGCGGGGCATAGTGGCAGTCGAGGTTGCGCAGCGCACGATACACGGCAGCAGAGCTGAAAGCACGCCTGAGTTTGCTATTTGCTCTTATCATGGATACTCTGCCCAGCTGGCTCTTTACTTAGCATCTGCCTATCTGAGCGAAGGAAACGATATGGTCTACACACTGGCCATATTTCGACCACTTCTTGATGGTCACATAGAGTTGCGGGTCAGTTGCCCGATATCTATTTCTGTCCACGATAGCGGGCTATCCAGTAGTTTGCACTATCCTTGCAACATCTGGCATCCACCAGCGCGGAGTCGGCATGACGTGAAGGAGAACATGTACCACTTCGTACGCCATGGTTCTGCTGCTTCTTGATCCTCATATACGCCACCGGACCCGAGTGGCAAGTGGACCGTCTCCAAGATGGAGCGTATTCTAGGAGGCGCTCAGTCTACAGCCTGGGGTGTTATCACCGGAGGCCGAAGCCTGCTGCCTGTTACTAGGTGTAACGGGAGAGCAGAGGCTTACTCTGGTGGTGCTAGTAAGCTCGTAAGGTGAGTCCTCCGTGCATCGTACATCATTCCTCACCAGGTGTCATAACCAAGCATGAACTTGGCCACATAGCTATGTTATTGCGACGTGGAGATAAAAATCGTGGAGTCCGGTTCGTTACAATAATTCTGACCATATAACCAGGGTTGATCTGCGGCACTCTCTACTCTGTCAGTCTTTCGTCGACCTACGACGCCGGGAAATTTGGTTCCCCAACACTGCTTTCCGGCTATTTCTTCCTGGACATTCAACGTCCATACTCCGGGACAGCATCCAGGGTCGCGGAGCTGAGTACGTGATGCTCAAATGAATGTACAGGATTACACAAAGGGCAAACCAGTCCTTCTCAATCGGCTCGCACCTTTCTTAAGTCCTGTGGCGATGTACAACGGGCAGGCAGCTGCATAAGTGCGGTAACAAAAGTACATTTACCTCACTTCTCTGCGTGGCAGAAGTGGGTATGGTCGTTTTTCGCCGCCTTGTTCACACTTCGGCCTCGAGTTCCAGGCGTTGCCCGTGGTGAGGTACAGTATAAGTAGGCTTGTCTTACCTCCATCGAATAAATCACATTTCTCCGACCTTCAGATCCCATTCAATCGCTTGAATCATGTTCGCCGTCTCTTTCGTTCTCGCTGCATTGGCTGCTTCCTTTGTTGCAGCCGCGCCCGCGGATGTGTATGCACCCCCTATTAGCTACCCGACCGCTGGCACCACTTGGCAGGTTGGAGGATCGTACAATATTACCTGGTACGCCGCATTTTGTTGTTGTTGCAGTGGTATCGTAATGACGGTGTGTCTCAAGGGACGCCTCGAACCCGCCGAAGCAGATAACCAACCCTATTGGTCACATCGACCTCCTAAAGAACAATGTAATAATCACTGGTGAGCTAAGCCCTCCTCACCGTCCTGCTGTTTTCGTTAATGTTTCGCGACATCAGGTGCTCCCCTTGCCAATGGTTTCTCCATTCTGGATGGGACGCACGAGATTACGGTTCCCTTGACTGTTGAGCCTGGTTCCGGTTATACCGTCGTCTGTGAGTACTAGTATGCTGGATAAATGCCATGCGAGACGCTGATGTGAATCCTGCTAGTATTCGGCGACTCTGGAGACATTAGCCCCGAGTTCACTATCGCGGGTTGAATGAGTAGTCGTAATTTTCCCCTGCAAAGATTAAGGCGGACACCTTTTATACTTGACTCGTATCACATACCGGTTTGAAGTTGTCGTATAAAATAAACAGTTGAACGCGTGGCATTATAGCCCTCCAGCCACACTCCAGCCACACTCTGCATTCGTGATTGAATATCGCATCGCACGATCTGATCATGATCTAAGATGCGAGAGATTTCAAAGATCACGCGTTTTAGATAAGGCACGCGTCTGCCTTATCCTCCTGCCACCATGTCTTCGCATGAAGCCGCCTTGCAGCGCGTCAAGGAAGGGCTCACACCTGTGGAATTAATATATGTGTCTAATCTCGAGTGGCCCTTTCGTGCTGGCAGAACATCCTCTAATATTCTGCGAATCTCGGTGCTAGATTCCTCCTTTAACCCGCCTACTCTCGCTCACTTGGCTCTACTGGATGCCGCCGCGCCAGACGAAGGCGAGGAATATGACGCGAAACTGCTACTATTGTCTGTGCGAAATGCGGATAAGGTCTTGAAACCGTCGGACGCGACTTACGGTCAGAGGCTCGATATGATGACCCTCCTTGCTCAAGAGGTAGACGCGAATAGACCACCGTCTAATCGGAATGTTGCGGTGGCTATCATTGACGAACCGGTCTTTGTTCGCAAGTCAACGATCCTGCGCAGTTTTCTGGACAAGCACCTGTCACCCTTGGATGACAGCTCCCCTCCGAAGATACTACAAGTATCTTTGGTCTTTCTCATGGGTCTGGACACCGTCACAAGGCTGCTGACGCCGTCCTACTACTCCGAACCGATGCTCCCGACACTTCGCCGCTTCTTGTCTCCGCAGCCTGACGAGGACGGATCCAGAGTCGTGTGTGCGACCCGCTCAATGTCGTCTCTTGGGATATCCACCACGGACGAGGACGTCAAGGCGAAGTTGGAGTTAGGCAAGGAGTTCTTGGAGTCTGGACGGATAGCTATGATTGATCTGCCGGAAGGTATGGAGAGGCTAAGCTCGAGCGAAGTCAGACACAAGATTGCCCAAGGGGATAATACGTGGGAGGAGATGGTTGCGCTGCCGGTGGCGACCTATATTCGAGAAAACGAGCTGTACCGGCATATGATCGGCTAAGTGTTCGTTGGTGGGAGGACTGCAAGGTTGTGCCAAAATTCCATTCATACTTACAAACTTGCTGACTCTAGCCCCGGGAACAAATCCCGGCAATAGATACACCATGACATGTATACATCCATGAAATGACCAGAACACTGAAGACGGACCTTAGACTGCAATAAACCGTCCGTACATACTTAAATGACAAGCATTATGAATGGGAGACAGAACGAGACGAGAGCGGGACGAAAGCGCGAATGAAAGCATGTCGACTTTATGATCTAGAAAGAAGAACCAGATAATTACCGGCGCGGCGGACATCGGACACAGACGCCACCTACAGCTTTGTCTTCGGATTCTTCCGCTGCAGTTCCTTGAGCTCGCGCACCTCGTCCTGGCTGGCCAGCACGAAGTCGTACTTCCATACCCAGACGCGCCCGTTGCGGACCTCATCTCGCTTGTAGCCCATCTCGGCCCAGCGCTTCGGGTCGGTCTCGGGCTTGACGTCGCAGATGAGAGACTTCTTCGTCGCGAAGACGGGGTCTGTGCCGAGGAAGGGCGAGTGTGCCGGGTAGAGGGCGGTCGTCAGCCTGTTGGGTTTGTCAGCAATCAGGTCAGATAAAGATGTTATGGCTATGACTGACTCGTCATAGCCTGGCGCCTTCAGCAGGAAGTGGAGATGCGATGACCGATGGGGGTGTCGTCCTTTTAAGTGTCGATCGCTTAGCCCGTAGAATGTACAGCGAGTGCATTCCCGACATACCTAGAAGATGGAGCATTTCACCCACGGGACCGTCGCTTGGGATGGGGTACGCAGTTGGCAGGATTCCACGGTAGCTGAAGTATCCACTATCTTCCGCGTGAATGCGAGCACGGTCGTTCGTGCCCTGCTTCTCAATCTCTTGGACATCATAAACACCATCACCATCAGCTTGCCACTACGTAGCTTGGTGAATAAGTCGCCTTCCGGAACCACGATATTGGGTCTACCTACCACATCGATGGTTGCGCCCTTGATGCCTTCGCCCTTGGTGTTCTTGATAGTAGCGGCGAAGAACAAGTTCTCGCCAGTGGTATCTGGGGTAGCAATCGTCGAGCCTGACGGCACTTCTGGCATATCCTCCGTCCAGAATGGCCCCTCCTCGCAACTCTCTGTAGCTCCCTGCCGGAGAGACATAAGAAACGCAGCATGAGACACTATCACCGCGACATACTGGAGGCTTTGGGTGGTTCAGCTCGTCGATGAGTGCACTGAAGCCGAGCGTATCGCTGAGGAGGATGAACTCGTTCTTGTATTCGTTGCTCTCCTTGCCGCAGCGCGTGAGGAACTTGATGGTCTTGGTCCATTCGTCGTGAGTGGGAAGAGTCTCCCGCGCGAAGGCGTGCAGATGGGTGACCAAGGACCTGAATAGTTCGAGGGTACGGGGCTCTTTAGTGAGTTTGGAATGGAGGTCCTGTACGCTGAAGACGAAGACGGGTTAAACAGTGCCCACAGCATATGGACGTTAGGGGACTCACTGGTCGGTGATGGTATAATCTGTGCCTTCGCGGAAATCCCTCTCGAGAGGTAGATCACGAGGGACTTCATGTTCGAGCTGAGCACGGATAGCTCTGCCCACCAATAGGGGATTCTTCATTTGCTGCTCGGAGGCCATGGCGGGCGATGTGGGGAAGTGGGGAGTATGTGCGCGGAATCAATGCAACCCCGCAACGCCATTATCATAGCAGTCTCTTTATACATTGACCCGGCTGTTGAACGGTACAACCGCGGAGGTCTGGCACGGGGACGGTAAGGATACTGGGTTGTCCTAATTAGGTAATTCGAAGATCATGTTATTGCTGACCGGCGGACTGCTTGTCCCACCTGATCTTGTCCCTCTTTATCCTGACAAATAACCTGGATAAGAACGAGAGGAGAGCGGCGTCGCGATCACTGACCTTACTCATCTGTATGCATCTCGAAATGTCCTACAGGTCAACGTGGCATTATGGTTGCCGGTTCCAACGGTCGAGATGCACGGAAGGCCCAATCGAAGCGCTCGAATTGATTTGCTTGGAATCTCTGGTTGCTCAGCGTCACCGAAAGGCATAAGTATAAGTCGGTTCTCCCAGCTGTTGTGGATCATCATGCTCGGAATATACTAGTTCTCTTCTTGTGATCTGCTTCGTTCATGTCAGTGCTATACATCGCCTACTGGGTCAAATCCGGGATACGTCTACAAGTGTATGTAGGTTATCGCCACAGGTTCCGTGGTGTTCGCTGCACAGAAGGTGATCGAGGATGAAGCCGACACGTCTGGCATACCAAATTACCCTGTCGTTCGCAGAGTTGGTTGGGCTACGATGTTGATTCACATGCACCGGTACCTGCAAGCAACCTTTCGAGAAAGATGGACGGGTAAACCAAATAAACAGTATGCTCGTACACGACCATCTTACTCCTGCATGCAGGAGCTATGTTCTAGGACAAGACATTATCTACCTGATCGTGAGCAATAGTGACCTAAATCGCGGCTCCTGTAGTGAACTGCCTTTATCTTTGTCGCCCAACGGATCAAAGGTCCTTGGGAGGTCAACTCACTGGTTACTATTCTTGCAGAATGGAGTTAAACCCAATTACAACTTGGGATAACGAGCACAAGGATAGATCATGAGGACCGCCTTAACATGAAACCGCTATACAAGGATTGGCGTAAAAATAACGGTCGCTTGTCCAGACTCTCAGGTGTATGACATCGGAGAGTCACACCACCTCGTGCAGAGAATCGGAGGAGCCACCTGCGAGACGACTAACAGAGATTTGTACACACCATGTATATGGGTTTCAGAGCCAGGCAGCTTGGCAGGAAGCCATATCGTATTCTACGTTATTTCGAAGCCGCGTCAGGGCAGAAGCTGGAGTCCATTTCCTGCCTTGAATTTACATTTAACCCGCGAAAAACACGAGTATCGGCCAAGCTGTGAGGAGCCATAGTTTATGAGCCCTCCTGAAGGCGTTGCTCAGTGTAACAGCAGTAGCTTCAAGTTGGCAGCAGCCGCTATGTAAGTAGCTTGGGTTCGTCCGCATGCGCAGTCAGCGAAGCTGACATGTCGGGCCCCTGTCTTTGCGGGGAATATGACTTCACCGTTTTCTCGCTTCCGAGTCCTCGTATACTTATAATTAACGCACAGGGAAGGATATAGTATAGACAGCGTTCTCAGTTTCCAGCGCGATGACATCGGTCAACGACAGCGGGAAGGAACGTTGGGCAGACGGTTCGAAAAAGCAAAGAATCCAGAGAGCGTGTGATATCTGCAGGCGCAGGAAGAGTGCGTACTGAAGCTTGCATGCGGCTTATTCCTGGCTAACGCTGATTCTAGTCCGGTGTAAGTTTAACGAGTTCTCCGAGGACAGCTTAATGATATAATGCAATCGAAGGCGGTGGTATCCAGGATGCAGGAGATAGCTGTTCAAATTGTATAAATGCCCGCCTGAAGTGCACCTTTGTAGAGGCATCTCAGGCATGTCCGAACCTCTATGACCTATGGACAGACAGCTGACCGGATACTCTCAGAAACGAAACTCCTCTAAGGCGTACGTTCTTGTAGCGAAGAAGTTGCTCTTCTTGTTAACTGTGACGATCCAGTTATATCAGTAGCCTCGAAAGCCGCTTGCAAAAGCTCGAGAAGGTCCTGGAGAAGGTGCGTCTGGGATGTAATCATAAATTGGGGATGTTCTAGATGATCTTGCAGTTGGCACCTGGCCTTGATCATGCCGAAGTTTCCACCTTATCAGACCATGAAGCTAGTCATCGGAAGGGGAGCAGCGGAGATTCTTTCCACTCACCGATCAAGCACTACCATGAATTAGGTGCAGGCCCGGTACGGGTAACCCCCCTCACTTCTATTTCTCGTACCAACGGGACTGTGGACTCTTCTGACCTCGATCCAAGTGACGATGAGTATCTCCCGCATGCGTCGCTGACGGAGCACCTTCGGACGTACATCCACGACCCATACCGGCCCCTGTACCTTGGAAAATCCAGTGAATACTTGCTCATTCAAGATACCATGGCACTGAAAAAGAAGCATGCCGGCGATGACCGCCCTGTGTTCACTGGAAGTGACTTCGGCAAACTACGGCCAGAATTTTGGAGCAGAGAAGAAGTGAGTAGTCTCCGTATGAGAACATCTTCTAGTATCAATTGGTTATAGGAGAAATGGGTACACCAGGCATGCAGAAGGCCTATACCCAAGTACGAGTTCCCTCCCTCAGACCTCATCGGGCCCCTGGTCGACCTATACCTCGCAAATGTGAATATATTTGTCCCGCTCTTCCATGAGCCTACCCTGAAGCAGGAGGTCGCATCCGGATTGCATTTGCGGGATCCTAGCTTTGCCTCCGTTCTGCTCCTTATCTGTGCCTGTGGCTCTCGATGGGCTGACGACCCTCGGGTGCTGATGGGTGGCAGTGATTCGCTTCAGTCCGCCGGGTGGCGGTGGTACAATCAGGTGAAGATGTACCAGACTCCGGTTGGTCCGTTGAACCTATATGAAGTACAGCTATATGCTGTAAGTCCATTGTGTTCAAGGTTGGCGATGCAGCGCTGAAGACATAACAGTTATTTGCTTTGTTCCTTCAGGGGACCGCTTCCCCACAGGCCTGCTGGACGCTTGTAGGAGTCGGACTTAGAGTTGCTCAAAACTTAGGCGCCCACAGGGCCAAGATGTACAACTCACCCTTGACTAAGGAAGATGAATTATGGAAGCGCGCGTTCTGGTTAGTGGCATGAATGGGACGAGCATACTTGCATTGATTGTGATGCTTTGTACCAGGGTCCTTGTCACGCTGGACCGTGCCTACAGCTCAGGGATGGGTCGGTCATGCTCTATACAAGAGGAAGAGTGAGTCCTTATGTACCTCTTGCGATTGGTCGCCAGCTAGAAATGCGATCTCTTAGCTTCGATCTCGACATGCCTGTCGCATGTGATGACGAATATTGGGATCACCCCGATCCAGACAAGCGTTTCCAGCAGCCTCCGGGACAACCGTCCAAAGTCGATGCTTTCATCTGCTTAATCAAGTTGAATCAAATACTTGGGTTAACGCTCCGCACCATAGTATGTCCGCTATCATAGCATGCGTACCTCATTAATCTCTTCTGGGAGCGCAGTATTGTATCAATAAGTCGAAGGTCCTGTTGGGATTTGTCGGTCCAGAATGGGAGCAACGCATCGTAGCTGAATTGGATTCGGAGGTCAACAAATGGTTCGATGAGCTTCCAGAACACCGTACGGCCTCGCTTTTGGCCATTTGTCTCCTATCTGCTTACATCTCTCCAAGTGCGCTGGAACCCCGACCAAGGAGACACTCTATTCTTCCGGCAATCAGCTATGCTTTATTGCAATTACTACACTTTGCAGATCCAGATACACAGGCCCTTCATTTCGAAATCACGCAAGCTTTCCCCCTTGTCGTATCCATCTTTGGCCATCTGTACCAGGGCTGCCCGATCGTTGAGCCATGTGGCGGACACCTGTCGTCTTGTTTGCAAAAGGGCACCCTCGCACCATATGTTTGTGTGTACCACATTGTCTATTTCCATGAGCAACATGCTTATGGCGTGTCAGATGGGCGTGTTCGTCGCGGCACTGGTCCTGCTGCTGAACATATGGACCAGCGACAAGTCTGGAGTGCCCAGCAATGTAAAGGATGATATCGCTGACGTGAATAAATGCATTGCAGCTCTGCGTGACTTAGAGACACGGTAAGTCTATTCGTAAGACTCGATTTCGAAGCCGATGTCGTTCTAATGTACGCATAGGTGGTATTTATGTGGAAGAACCATGTTAGTCTTCACCGCGCTCTTCGTCCTTTTTCGCGTCTGACGGTTCCTCCAGAGACTTGCTCAGACATCTAGCAACCGCTGGGAGCGTTCCGTTGGAACTTGAGTATAAGGATGCTCCGCCTCGAGGAGTTATTTCATCGTTCGACCCTCGCTCTATGTTCAGCCTCTGTCGACCGCCCGAGCCATCCCCGCCTTCTCATCGAAACGGCAGTATCCAGCCTAGCGGCGACGGTTCTCGTTCCGCATCTTGTGATGGAGTCGATCCTGCTACCCGCGGGAGCTTCAGTCAAAGACCACAGCATACGGCCGATGGAAGTACCCTCGCCTTCAGCCCACTTATGCACTATGCGTCCTCTGGACTCGCCAATGGTGTATCGCGCGAAGCATCGAACCACCAAGCACACTCGGAGGTGCCAGATCTCGGTTCCTCCCCCTCTAACTTATCGGCGGGCTTCCAAGAGAGCCAAGAGTCCACAGTCGATAGTAGACCGCAAGAAGCCCCCACCAATGGTGACATGATGGACATGTGGTTAGAGTAAGTCCCGGTAGTTTGGTTTTCTACGTCTCACGAATCCAACGGTTCTGCAGGATGGTTGATTGGGAATCCTACATCACTAACGCCTTCGCGACCCATCACTATCCCCACACCACTCGGCTGCATCCTCCATCGGATGGGCCTGGCTGAAGCATGCCTAGCTGTCCTCACCCAGTATCGCGTGGGCCGTTGTGACTATCGACTCGCACCTGGGTCACTCATCTGGTTGAGCGCTGGTTCTATAATCACTGTCATATGCTGCATTTGGATCGTCAGGTGTATACTCTTGATGTATTTGTATATACCCGGGCCCCTTCTTCATAGAGGCTTCGACTCTCTGAGCCATTGTATGCTGTTGCATCCGCGGCTGGTGCAAAGATATTTCACGGTAAACTGTTCAAGCGTAGTCCTCTATGTATTCTGAACCACCGCTTGCAGCATACAGTATCCAGTCTTGGTGCTCGCGGTCGTTCATATAACGATGGTTCCTGACATCCTCCATCTGCGCAATCTGACGCTAAAGAATCGCTCGTAATCATTGAGCTATCATAGTGGCTGCTTTCATCCGTTACCGCCTCCGAGATGGCACGGGACGCACGGAATCTATGGTAAGCTCAGACGGCTCATGACCCAACACTGGTATAATCAGTGGGACGGACCCATGCTATGGGTAGTTTGCCCCCACCCGGGCCCCTATTGCGGAGCGATATATCGATACCTCATCCGTTTAGTCAACTCCTCATGTCCTCGACGGTCGATCCAGACTACGATAGGTCCATCTGTGCTACTTGCGCTGCACAGTATACTGCTTCCTCGTTACGTCCGTATCGGATAGGCGAAGAAGGGACCGGGGATGGCTGCCCTATCTGCCTGGATGAACGTCAGTATGTTGCACCTACCGGGCAAGCATGGACGAGCTGGAGAGAATTGGATGGGAAACACGCAACTCGTCTGGAGCCAGATGGAAGAGACCCCCGAATCGTCAGAATACTCACCGAGCCCAAAGCCGGTGCAATCGGTCAGACGCGTTAGTTCGTATCTTGAGACCCTTACGGAGGAGCGAGCTGAATATGGCGATGCTTAGCGTTCATCATACCGTCATTGGATGGGTCCTTGATTTGGGATTGCAGCCCCTACCTCTCTCCTTCCGGAGTCGAATCTATCCTATCACTCACCTCGTCATCGAAGCCCCTCTTAGGTATGGCCATTTCGCACCCCCACTTTTTCTGCAGTTCTGTCACTTGGGCTCGAAAATTGGGATGCAAAGTATACATATGCGCAACGGATAAGGAGTGGTTTATGCGTAAGGATTCATTTGTTGATGAATATGTGAATTTCTGGGAGGGAGACAGCAAGACGTTTGGGAAGAGCTTAACAGTCATCAAGTGCGGAGGTGAGTATCGAAAGAATGTAGGTATACCCCTCACCGTCGAGTGCATTTTCTCCCCAGGTCATTTTCCTGGTTCATGCGTTCTGCATTGGGACCGCTCAATGGAACAATCTGAATCCAGCCTCCCGCAAACAGGTGTGATCTTCTGCTCGGATACCTGCAAAATCGCAGTAGACCGACGCAGAATGACCTTTATGTGGTCTTATCCCAACTACGTACGCGGAAGACAGCTTTCACTTCTCCGTCGAGTAACTGAGACACCTGCGCGGAGCCAGATCCCCCTCCCGCCAAAAGATGTCCAGAAGATATGGCAATCACTGCGGCCTTTCCAGTTCGGCGACATCTACAGCGCGTGGCCAGGGGAGATCGCCTTCGGTAATGGCAAGGAGAAAGTGCTCAACAGCGCCAGGAGGTTCATCGAAATGGAAGGCTGGGGTAAGAATGAATACGCCCTCGAAGAATGAGCGACGGAGCCTGAGGGCGTCTGCGCGGCACGACAATACGAACCTACGCTCTGCAGAGATCCCACAATAGGTGGTCCTCTACTGTTGTCAGTCGCCCCTACTGGCTCTGGCTCTCTCAGGGTATCAGCAGAAAGTACTCTTGAGGGTAGCTTATACAGTCGACTCTCAGTGCGTCGTCCGGAAGAAAAGAGGGGTATATATGTGAACGTCCCGGTAGGTCAAACAGACTAGACACTGAGTGAATGCTGCTTTAGTTTGGGCGTCATTCTGGCCCTCGATTCGACTCAGACCTTCCATCCTCCAGCAAGACCCATGACATTGTTCGGGTCGTACCGCTGCTTGATAGCTCTCAGCCGCGGGAGGTTGTCCCCGTATATCGATTCGAGCGCTGTGCTGAAGATGGCATAGTTACCGTAAACTGGTGCGTCAGCGACATCCTGGCCAAGCTCAACCGCCTAATGAGGTTTCGCGCATTCAGCAAGAATTAAGAAAATTTTGCCTCCCAAAGGATGACTAGATCGGGCATACCTTGGCCTTGACTGTAGCTGCGCTCTGCCTGATACCATCCCACATTACCTCGTCCTTGCTGGGGTCTGTCCATGCCCAGTACAGGTTCAAGGGTAGCAGAGCCTGTGACCGCGATGCGGGGTATGACGCTGACGATGTGCTGCCGTGCGAAAGGATGCTGGACTGGAAGGGTTCGACATCGTACGAGATGAAGGTCGCGGAGTCTTCCCAAGAAAGCTTCTGTCCCCAGAACTACGTATATCAAGCAAGTTGTCGTTAGATTGATTAGAGGTTGCGCGGAGATAGCGTACCTCGGTTTCGTTGCGAATGATCTCCATCAGCTCTGGAGTGTATTCCAGCAGCGGGACGGTGTTGAATATACCTCTGTGAGGAGCGTCAGTCCCCGCAACGTGTCGCGTCACTCCATACAGACCTTGTGTTGCTGGTTGCATTAGCGGGAATATTGCGAACGAGATTGCTGAAGCTCCTGGCCTTGACATCCTTCGTGAACGAAGGAATCGCGAGGAACTCGTCGAAGATGCCTGCGGGAGGCTCGGAGCCGTCATAGAAGAGAAGTTGAGAAACGCCCAGCTGAGTGAGATCGTTCAGACAATACCAGACCCCGGAAAAATTGACGTGAAACTTACACCACCAATGACGAAGTTGTATGTCGTGATGATGCCTGCTTTTGGATCCGTGACCTTGGAAGAGAAGTTCACGGAGGCAGATGCCACTCGATCCAGGGTATTCTCGGTAAATGTGATCAGTCCCCCCTTATGGTAGCAAAAACGGGCATAAGCACGGCTCATTCCTTGACTCGGCCGACTACGTACCCAGACTTGTCCTGACGGGAACGTCTTGAACGTGAACTTGGTCACGACACCCTGAGTAAAGCGGGGGGACATCAAGATTTGTCCTCGCTAATCTAAGTAAATCTTGACTCACGAAGTTGTTGTAACCACCCTAGATCAGAACATTAAGTCGGTAGGAAGTCAAGACTAAAGGTAGAGAGCTGACCCTTAAGGCAAACATCAGGTCCGGGTTTGAACTGTCCGTGACAGTGGTCACCGTTCCATTAGGGAGCACGAGTTCAAAGGCGGTGACAGTATCAGCCGTAAGCCCATGCTGGTTTGTTAACCAAGAGTACCCTGTCCAGAGAAACCTTGAGTTTCAGTGGATGCCACAATTATATTCCACGTACCCCCTCCTAATGTAAATCCAGCCACGCCGACGCCGGTAACGCGCCTCCGACGACCATGACGTTGTGGTCCTCAAGAGCAGCGTAGACATCGTCCCAGATTAGTCCTGCACCAACATCGGCAGTTTGCGAATCTGCATGGTATGTCACTTCAGAGAAGCGAGCCAAGGATATGTGAACCCCGGCAGTCGAAGAGAAGCCCGGATTGGAGGCATGGCCGCCACCTTTGACCTATCAAGTGCATGAGTTGATTGATACTAAAGATGCCATACATTACTTACGGCGAATGAGCTATTGGTAGCAGCAACTATTTGAAGCTGTGACTACGTGTCAGAGGAGAGGGGTTGAGAGCATCGTTGAACACGTACTATCTTGCCCACGTCCTCAGGAGTGCCAGGTTCGACGGAGCATGCTGACTGCTGGGTGCTAGAAGTCATCCAGTGCTCGATATCCTCGAAGAACTCGAGGAGGCCTAGCGATACGGGCATCAGAACAAATTAAGGGAAGAGAGGGCGATTTAGCTCCTCACCAGGTGTATGATAGGCAGACGCATCAGATATGGCTGCCTTGATACGTGAGCAGGCTGCGTCGGTGGCGGCACTCCTGCTGGACAACGTCACGGAGGAGGCCAAGACGCTGGTCGGATGCAAAACTGCGCCGAGTGCGCATAGTACGCCTACCGCACTCGACAGTTTCCGAGACATAGCACTGGGAGATAAACGAAATGAGTGGAAGGCTGAAAGCCCAAGGGTTCCAAATATCTGACCATAAATTTATATCTTACTGGCCGATCCATCGGGAAAGTGTATGTAACCTGTGATAAACAAGCTTGTAATCTGGTGACCTTGACGATCGCGTTTCCAAAGCGAGGAAAAAGAAGGTGCGCGTTGCCCCGGATTACCCCAGGGCTAACCGTACGCGCGTTCGACGGATGCAAATTAGCCAAAGAAGGTTCGTTTTCCACCGAACATTTCCCTTGGACAGTTTCTGCGTACCATCACGGTGGCATACTTTGTCTAAGTACAGACTCGGAAGATGGGCTGCAGCACTACAACGCTTGCCTTTCTGTGCTGCCATCTTGCCTGTGGTTTCGCGGGCATAAAGGGCGGGAACCAAGGCTCTTGGCAGGATTCCAAGCTTGAAACTGCAAAGTTGCAGCCGAGTCGAGAACAATCTACACGAGATCCTGATGCAGATTACAGCCGCTTGCAGATCGATAGACCATCAATTCAGAAAACCACGTATAGTCGGAGTGGGTCGGAGTGGGTGCCAGGGACGTCGGAAGAAGGTAGAGAAGTCCAGATGGTCTGACTTCTGTCTCTCGGGGACTTGAAATTGCTTGTCCGACGTGGTCCGACTGTAAATGATTCTCAAAAAGTGGGCCCATCGATCTGCAAATGGCTGTACAGCCATCGGTAAGTCATCATTTTAGAAAGTCGCGTACAGTGTATGTCACTAAGAGTCGGCACCTCTGTGGCACCTTAATTATGCCGCCGTAGGCGGCGAGAAAAAAATTTGAAACATAAACCTGGCCAAAAGACGCGTAATCCTGCATTTTCATTTTTTTGGGTGCTTACGTAAGCGTTCAAATATGGGGTCACCGAGCGTAACCTCATTTATTTGGGAGCCAGCTGCGTCCTGATCACTGAATATGGTTGTATAATACGTAAATGGGGGTCTCCGATGGAATTCCTGCGATAGGGAGTGTCCCACACGTCCAAAGCAAGTAGTGCCTTCACCCTAACCCTAGCCAGGCACGTGGCTCGGGTACCCTGGCCGGCGCATGAAGAGCGCCCACAGTTCACACGCCTTAGTCAGCGCGTTCTTTGATGGACGATTGAAGATTGATCTCCATCGCTTCGCGAAGCAGCAGACCATAGACAGGTGCTGTCAGTCTCTGTCAGTCCGGTCATCAAAGCCAAAGGCAGAAGGCTCTCGTGCTTCTGCAAATCCACTGCCTGCCGTTGCTAGGGTGTACGCCTCGCTGCTATGTATGCCTCGTGCGCTCTCTTGATCCTCAACTCTGCGAGCGTCGCTCCACTCGATGCGCTCCGGCTCCTCCAAAACCCCGTCTTCAAGGCTTTCGCTCTCCCTTTAAGTCTTTTCCCCGAGCCAGCACTCCAGCGGCTCTTTGATGAGGACTGGTCCTGCATAGATGTGCACGAAAACTTCCACCCCGAGGCCTGCAGATGCTAAAGCATGCCTAGAGATGGCGAGCAGAGTGTCGTCATTCTGACAAGACTGGTAAGTCATCCGTCCTCTGCCTGGATGATTACTCTCCCCTTGTCTCGCAGATCTTAATCCTTCGAATTGACATTGCTGCCTACTGCCAGGCAGGAAACCTGCCTGCCCAAAACCTGGCTCCAGACTCTCCCTCGTCGCCTTAGTGCTGTTCTCTGCTGCCAGACAGGGAACTCGCCCACCCAACACTCGACTCATGGCTTTCGCTCACCGATTTGCTCCAGCGCTGTTGTCATTGTGAAGCATCACATCCTGAAGAGACGGGAAGTGCGTGGGGATGCCCAGTGAGTACTGTGGTGCCGTCACCTCTTTCCCGGTTTCCAGCCTTGACTCCTCACCGAGGTCTGTTCGCCCGTGGCCCTTGTCGGCCCCGCTCCTGTTGTCATTTCCGCCCCTGATTCCATTGTTCCTGCTGTCCTTGCATCTGTCCCACTTGCTACCTCTGGCTCTTTCCTCTCCAACAGTTCTGATTCAGTCGCCTCTGTCCGGTGCTATTTGCGTAGCCATTCGCCATGCCGCCTTCGAGGAAGCTCTATGCAAAGGTACGCTGCAACCAATTTCCTGAGTGTACGCCCGCTTATCTTGACTGTGTAGGTCGAGCTCAGCAAGCTCGCTGTTAGTCCTACTCAGAAGGCTGCTATCCAGGCACTTTACGATGGAGGTGTCATTCAGCCTCACGTCTATGATGCAGCTGACCTGTCCATGCAAGCGAGCGTCCGCGACTTCCTCTACGCCCACGGTTTAGACAGTGATTCTCGGGGCAAGTTGGAGGGACAATGGAATGTGGTTTGGTCGAATTCTTGGAAGAGTGGGGCCGAGGGGAATGTAAATCGTAGAACCTTGTATCAATGGTATATTCCTACTTAATGCAATTACACCACATTTTTGATAGACCTGAAAAGCGCCTGTGGCTATGACTCCATAGAAAGGCAAGCCTCAGAGAGCCTGAAACGCTCCACCAATGAACACTCCAAGCCATCGCAAAAGAAGTGGGAGCGACGGAACCCTTTCGACCATACTGGATGCCTTGCTCATGTCGAGATTACGGACCAAAGCCTTGATGGTGCAGTGATGCGCATCCAAGGCTACCTTGAACACAATGAGGCCTGCCAGAGCTCATGCCTCCGACGGATCCCTCCGATACCCTTACATCCCCATGTTTATGAAGTGGCATTAGAGCAACTGAAGCGCGGTGATGGGTACGTCTACCTTCTTTCAAGTGGCAAAGGGTGCTCATTACAAGAGTAGCATTGCTTCTGTACAGTCGAGAAATGTTCAGATGGTTCAGGATGGGGCGTACCGAGACATGTCTAGCTATGACCGACTTACGGCAAACTGTCGCTACAACCTCCTCCCCCACGACAGCATCTACTTGTACCGCTTGCTGAGCAAAGCACAAGGCGTCGACGTTACCAGAGAAGCACAGTACAACGTTGATGACTGGCTGAATGAGCGATCCCCACATTTTCGCCCCGAGATTCGAGAGGCAGTGTTCCACTATTCAAGTCGTGCCGATGCAGGCGAACGCCTGAAGATCTGCATATCCACGAAGGACATGGACGAGAGTGCCTGGCGCATCGCTCACCATTCATTGGTCATGCTTGATGGAACATTTGGCCTATGCAGCTCACGCCTTCTCCTTTTCGTGACGATGGGGGTGGATGGCGATGGTAAAGGGGTTCCTCTGGCCTTGTTCCTGTTTTCGGCCCCTACAGGCAATAGAGCCAGTCACGCTGGATACAACAGGGAGATACTTAGAGAGCTACTCACCCACTGGCGAAACCACCTATCATGCACGTGTCCAGATACCCCCTTCACGCCCTTTGTTGCCATCACAGACACTGATGTTAAAGAGCGTCTTGCACTGCTTGATGTATGGCCGAACCTCTGGCTGTTGCTCTGCAAATTTCATGTTCGACAATGCTGGACCAACAAGCGCAACAGCTTACTGAAAGCCAAGGCTGGCGACACCTGGAAGCTCCATGTACGCTCACGCCTACAGAACCTAGAGTCCCAGTATGTTAACACCTTCTCAGTGGCACCGAGTTAGAGAGGGCTAAACAGAGACTTACAGGCTGATGGACACGACCGATCATGATGTTGCTCTGAAACTCATTCTAGATGAGCGCGCCTGCTTCAACATGATAGGCCAGTTAGGTGGCACCTCTGCCGCTCACGCCGCCGAGGCTGGCCTGGGTTTTCTCGATTACATGGTGGCAACATGGATGCCGATTCCACTTTGGCAGAGTTGGTCATTAAAGGGTCGTACCTGGGCTTCTGTCCTGTTGAACAAGCCTGTCAAGGATATAGTCTCAACAACAAACCACCTTGAGTCGTTCAACAACCTCTTGAAGAACAAGTACATACCGCGCTGGAAGTATTCGCGTAGCCGCCTTCGCTTTGACTTCCTCCTTCACATCCTCATAACTCGCATACTCCCCGAAGTTTTCAGAGCCCAACGTGCAGCACGAGACTATCGAGGTTGGATAGCAGATCGATTCTATAAGCAAGCAGGATGCACGGACATCAACGAGGCTGTTCGAGCAGCAGAGGAGGCCCGACGTCAGCAAGCACAGAGCCAAGCCCAACTATGTTGGTGGCCACATGATGCCAGGCGTACCGAAGCAGCCCAGGCCATCCTCCAGGCCAGGCTCCTACATTCAATCCAGCAAGACGGCGAGCACCAGTTTTCTGCGCAGTGCATCTCGACAGCAGTGCCGCCTGGCAGGCCTTGCACAGTCATGGAGATTAGTCAGCACTACAGCCTCTATCTCCATCGCACCGGCCAAGGGTCCTGCTCGTGTCTTGACTTTATGAACCGTGGTGGTGCTTGCAAACACCTGCGTGCCCTTAGACTCTGTATCGATTCCTGGGTTGGCACCCATTTGACTTTGCGTTTCTATTATCCTGCCACGATCGAGGCTGCTAAGGCTATCCTAACAGCATCTTGCACGCCATTTGCAGAAGAGACAGCCACCGCAGCTGTGATCAACAATGTCTTCACCTTGGGGCACTTATCCGCGGAGTATGGCAACATAGATGAAGAAGAAGGGCGTGAGGAAGTTGCTTCTTCCGACTCTGATACTCGGTCAGAGTGCGCAAGGGAGATTGGTGAGCAAAGCCATGAGTCCGATGGGCTCGATGGAGTGTGGCATGGTAGCATGGTGCGTGCTTGCAGGTTATGCATGAATTTGCACAGACTAACGTGCCTGGCACTGGCAGCTCAACTTGATGTCAGGGCAGGATGCCGCCGTCAATCTTCAGGTTCAGCAACATACAGAGCAGACCATACAGAGTTTACTTCCCCGCCTGCATGGCTTAGCTGTACTACTCGCTGATGCTCCCAAGCTGCCGATCACCGACAGCATTCAAGAATTCCAACAGGTGCTTCAGGCTGTCGACTCTGCCCTCTCCTCTGCCATCGGAACGTCTCAGTCAAGCTCTGGCCTGCAGAATCAGCCGGTGCCCGTAGAGCAGCTTCACAATGTCAGACATCCTAGCAATCCCAGCAGGAAACGATCGGGACCTGCCCTTTTGCCTCCTTCCCCAGAGGGCTCACAGAAACGCAAGCCATCTCGGTCAACGCTATAGGCGTAATTGCTTGACTTATGCCTTAGTTGTTATCTTCATTTTCCACAAGTGTGTATTTGATAGTAATATATCCCTTTGCTATAGTTACATAACTACTCCGCAGCGTCTCGGAAATCCCTTAGCCGGGGCAGCAAGCTCAGCCCCTCCTTCCAGCGGGCCTCATTTGCAGCATCAGTAGCACGGCTCCCATGTTCCTTACGAAACGTTGCAGCAGGCTTGAACCCGAAATCAAACCATCTGCATAATGCACCTGGCATCCACTGCACAAGAGAGAACCGGGTCTCATCCATGGAGACTCCGATATTAGAATGCCTAACTAGCGCAGAAGGAATAAAGACCGTAGAGCCAGGAGGAAACTCGATAATGAGTCCCCATTCCCAGAGAATAAGATGACCACCTCGCTTGGGGTCAAAGCGCCCGAACGCCGTGATGGCGCACCATCCAAAAGGCACATTGAGGTGGTCCGTATGGATATATGCCCGAACTCGAGGCCCCAAGTTGAAGGCGCAACAGGCGAAGACAGACCGACGCCAGAAGCGCTCCAGGTTCGGGTACCTTGAGCAAATCCCACCAAGGACTGTTGAATAGTACGAATGTAGGCGAGGGGCAACCAGGTTAAATGACTCTGGAGGGGTAGAGGTAAGCATAAACCTGGGCTTTGCAGCTTCTGCCACTTACGGTCGGTAAACCCTAGCAGAAGCTGGACATATGGGTTGGAGAAAAGATCGTGCAGGATCTTGATGTTGTGTTTTGACTTGATGCTTACGTTCCCAGGTTCCTAACCCTTGTCAGGGGTAGCGAACCAGAAAGGCTGCATGGGCTTACCGTACGACCACCCCCATGGGATATTCCGAACGAGGCTGACGGGAAGGCCCCGCGACGGTGGTTGCTGCGGCTCGGAGAGAAATGGTACGCTGCCTGAGCAACCATGAAGGCAGCAGTGACTGCATGGGTCACCTCCAACCAATTCCCTTTGTGCGATGGGCTGCCGACTAGGACAGCGACGACCAAGGAGTCGTCATCGTTCCCCAGAGCAACAGGTGTCATAGCCCTGAGTCAATAGGTTAATAACTACTGTAAGAGGAGCAGGGGACCCAGCGGAGCTCACCGCCCATCCCAGTCCACTTGCCGAAACCCCTCCAGCTCAGGGCTTTCGAGTGTCAGCTCTTTACGCTCCGGGGCATCCACAGGATGGCAGCGGGCTTGGTACCCAGAAGTACTACCATGCATCTCCTCGTGCCTATCCGGAACTCCCACCTCCTCCTGGGCTGCCTGCCGCCGCTTGCGAGCCACACGCTTCTGCGAAGTTTCGAGCTCGGCCTGCTCCTCCTCCCTCCGCGCCCTCCTCTTCGCCCGATACTTCACCTTGGACCGTGCCTGGTCCTTCTGAGCCCTCGATTGAGGGCGTTGCGGATGGTCCTGCGTGTCAGGGATTGGGCAGGGGGACGGGGCGTCAAGGGGAATGGCGCAGTAGGGCGAGTGATCGGCGAGCTCCACGTCGTCTTCGTCGGGGGGTGCTGAGGCCTCCGCCACCTCTCGCTCGAAGGCAAGCTGATCTGCCTGGGAAAGCGCGCCCTTGATGTCGAAGGGCGTGTTGACCACGACGGCCCTACGGGAATGAGGCGAAAACTCCGTGCCAGATCGCGTGCAGCGAAAGGCACGGAGTACGCTGTCTGAAGGAACGCACAGTCAGCACGGGCATAGAAAAGACCTGCGCGGAGCTGGAAGCCGGCAGTCGAGACGCAAGTAGTGCTATCGGTGAAACCAGGTCCGCCAGGATCGGGGTCCCAGGATCAACCTCCAGCCCTTCCGCTCTCTCGATAGTCGCCAGCATGCACGCGGGGAAGAACGGCTTACCAAGCATGGGTTTGTAGGTAGGGAGGGTGGCCCAGCAGCAAGACTGCGGAGTCACAGGGTAGGATGGCAGGCCGTCGTCGTCGCGCGGGCTCAAGGCGAGAAGAGGCAGCGGTGAGAGGGCAGAGAGGGAGGAGAGGCAGCCAGGAGAGGCTGGGCGGGGTGTGGAAGACCAAGCCGGCCCTGGCCCTTTTATGCTGCAAGCCCTGTCACGCTGGCAGTGACCGTGCCAGCGCCGGCCTTCGTGTCGTTGACTGGCGCGAGCGCGTTATGTACGTGTGTGTACGCGTTTCTGACATAACGCGGTGCATAACCCTAACCTAGATGTCACCTTTCGCCGGCCGCACGTATGTGCTAGTCGTATGGGCGTAATCTTATCAGCATACGCCCGCGCGTGTAGTGCGCGTAATGACGAGTTCGAACGCTGGAGGCCGATCCAAGAGCTCTTGCGCTGTGTCACCGGCTACCGCAGCAGCGCGCGTTCGCTTTGCTAACAAGGTATGTTTGAGGCTGTGCCATCCGTTCCAGGCTAAGATGTGTATATAAAGCAGAATTTTTTCTTTCGTGCCGGCTGAAGACAAGCCCTCACTTCTCCCGCTCTCAGGGTTATGCATGGTCTAGCGAACTGCACGGGTACACCCACGGGTGTCCCGGCGCGTACCCGTATCGCACCCGCGCGCGCGCCGACGGGTTGGGTACGGGTACGCGGGTACCCGCGGGTTTCGGCTTCGAAAGCACATCCGACGACGCGTTTTCGAGACGCGCCGGGTCATAGGTATCGCCGAACGCGACCCGTACCCGCGTGTACCCCTACCCGTGACCCGCGCGGGTTACCCGAACTCGTGCATTTCACAACATGCACCCGGTCTCCTCAAATCAACATCTGACCCTCATTCCAATAGCAGCTCGAACAACGTCCAGGTCTGCTGACCATCTCCCCACTCCCGCGAGCCTCACGTACGCCGCCAACTGTTTGTCGGCCCGGTTGGACGCGCACCTCCCACTCCTAAGTCGCCCGGTGAGTACGTTTTGGTGTCTTCCACCCACTCCCTAGTGTCATCGAGCTTCACACTGTCATCTAGCACTACGGATGGATCATTGGCTGGCTCGGCGCTTTTCGATCAAGGCAAACCCTCGCAAGAGTCAAGCGGGAGTAACAACACTGCCTCCTCTCAGCAACTCAAGGAACTGTATCACGCAATCGCAGCCCTGGAAGACCGGATTCTGCATGAGGAAGGCGGTCTCGGCGGAGATGACGGGCTCACGCGAGATGCGCCGGCTAGAGGTGGTGGCGTTGTGCTGAAGGCTAGGACTGGAAAGGAGCCAAGAGACAAAGATGAGGAGGCCAAGCGGGAGAAGTGGAGGAAGGTGGTCCAGGATCGCAAGCTGTGAGTGGCCATCCTCTCATCGTCGCGAAACGATCTCACTAGCGTGGCAGGCTCGCCGAGATGAACCAAAACCTTCTTGAGATTTCCCTCGCACCAGTGTGGCATCTTCATTGCAGAATATACTGGAGAAGTACAAGATCATCTGGACCCATGGCTTCCACAAGCTCCTCGACAGTCTGCGCCGCACGTCATGGCATTCCCTCGTCACACTCGAACACCTGCAAGACTTCATTTATTATGCCTACACGTTCCACACTGACTTACTGGAGGAGAGGACGTTGGACGCTCATCGCTTAAGCTGGCTAGAAGCACTCGGTGATCTTGCACGTTATCGCATGGTCGCCACGGATATGGCAATGAAGGTGCCCTATGCGAAGGGTCTTCCCCATCCTCTCACTGTGAACACCGTCTCTCAAGTCTCTCTCGACGCGCCCGCTCCCCCACCTGCCTCCAAATTGCAGGCGTCTATCTGTGACAAACCCGCCGCTCACATCGATGACTCTGAGAGCCCCAGTATTGGACTGGCAGCTGCTCGAACAATGGATGTCGAGCCGGAGAAGGGACGGTGGAGAGGGATCGCGCGGGAGTGGTACGCTACCGCGCTTACTGAGAAGCCGGTTGAGGGGATGCTGCCCCGACATATGGGGCTTCTATGCTGTGAAGTCGGGGGTGAAGAGCGTGGAGCAGCGTACCATTTTGTGAAGGGGTGGGTAGTTCCTTGACTGCTCAGAAGCTTGTGCTAAGTATGGCTTTAATTGCAGAATAACTATGTTACATCCATTCCAGACATGTCGGAAGTCCATCCTCCAACTATGGTCTGTCACCGCTCAAGGCTCGACGCGTGCTACCCGAAAACCCGAGTCGACAGTTAGGGTTCGGGTGCGCAGGTACCTGCGGGTTTCGGTTCTGAAAGCGCGTCGAACGTCACACCGTCGAGACGCGCCGGGTCATGGGTACCGCCGAACGCGACCCGTACAGTTCACTAGCGGCGGGCGGCAAAAGGGGACGATGATTTGGGCTCGACCACGACCAAATCTCTGGCGACAGAGAAAGTGACGAGGAAGAGGAGTAAGATGCCAACGAAGTCAAAGCCCTCAACGCTTGCCAGAGGTAACTGTATAGTCTCTGTCCTCGGTGCACGCACTTTGCCCCGACGTTCTGCCTCCACCTGGATGCTCTAGGAGTGCAGAGCTGCCGTCGCCGCCGATGCCTTTCACAAGGTTGGCTACCTGGATCTTGTGGCCACCGTGAACATCCTTTGGGCGTTGCGCCTCGGCCATCCAGTATATTGTAGAGTAACAAGCTGTTGTTTAATGCTCTAATATGTATATTCTCATAGCATTTACAAGGAAAGTACTATGGCCATATTTTGTGCTGAGCATACAAGAGGAAGCAAAGGATGGGTAGGCGGCTGTTTTGATCCAAGATGAGACCGTCACTATCTACTCATTGTCACTAGTTAAGTCTATGAAGCACATGTGCAGGTTACCAGCTGACTTCTGCCCATCCCCATCCTCAATCAACAGATCAGCATGGACAACGCGGCCACATAACTGGCACTTGCACCAGGAGTTCCAGAACTTGTCAACAGGAACCCCATGGATTGAGCAGAGCTCACGGCGACTGCTAGCCGCCGGTGCAGGGACAGCTTCCCTCCTTGCACTGAAGGGCGGTGGGCTCCAGAGATCAAACGCGCGAGAGTTGGATGTCGGCGTGGCGGGAAACTGGAGCATGTACCCAGATTCGAGGTAACCTTTAACAGCAAGCCATGAGCCATGCATCCAATTGGCAGAAGGCGTGACTTACGAGCTCCATATATAGGACCAATCCCAGCTGAAGAGGCAGTGGAGGTAGAGCCTGGCGAAAAGTGAGCGGCATGTCTGCGGCAGCTTGTAAGAGAGCTTACCTGTGGACGATGGAGTGGAGAAGGTGCCGTCGCTACTGTTGGTAGTGGTAGAAGCTGATAGAAACAAATTAGAGATCATCAGTTTCATGAAGGAGAGACCGTCTCTTACCATGGCTTGATGAGAGGGTGTCGTCCTCAAACAGTGCCATCAGAGCAGCACCCGTGGGGTAAAGGGGCTTCTTGATCTTTATCTTCTTTTTCGGAGGTCCCGAAATGTAGTCAGAAGAGGTGGACCAGGAGAACGACTTTGGACCTTCCGGAGAGCTGAGAGTCGATTCAGTGCCCTGGCTGAATGGCAGCTGTGGCTCAGCTTGTCGTACTGGGCCAAAGACTATAATGACATTAGACACCAATCGAGACTATGGGAGAGCTCATACCATCATGAGACTCCTCTGCCTTCAACTGCCCCTTAGGCGGCGGGCCTAAGTAGGGTGAAATCAACGCAAGGAGAGGCGACAGCTGGGGACAACTTACGAATAGCTCGGCGAGGCACAGCAGACGACTTCCCATCAGCCTTCCCTTTGCTCCCTGTGGCCATACGAATTGGAGTAAGTAAGCGTTGGCAAGCACAGTCCATAGGTACAGCACTTACTAGGGGCATATTGCTTGTAGTTGATAGCGCCGCTAATGTCTGAAAGGACATCCTCGACCACAACTAGGAAGCCGTAAGCAAGCACCAGAGCAACCCAATGATAAGGACCTACGCCAGAAGGAGCAAGAACGGCCGGGCCCACAGGCAAAAGCATGCTTTTGCGCATGCTCACCGGTCTTCACCTCGATAAACCGGCACCTCTCATTGCACATACACACAGGCCACGGACAGTCATAGCGGCCCATATGGTTACCGAGAGCGGAGGGCACTACGGCGCAACCCTCGCTATCAAGAGGACTGGAGTGCAGGTGCGTTAACAGAGACTGCTGGGCTCAAGAGATGCAGTAACTCACTATGGGTATGTCTTGATCGTAGGCACCACCTCGGAGAAGTCACAGGTTGCCAGGTTGTGAGCACACACGAGCGCACGTTTCAAGACAGCCCTTTGGGCAATAGACAAGGGCGGCGGCGAAGCAGAAAATGTCGGAGCACTCGGATCGAAGGAGAAAGGGGGGACGCTATTCGAAGACATGAATGTCGGGAAGGTAGGAAACGACTGGGAGCGGGCAAGCTGTTCAGACATGGGTGACAGCGAGGCGGAGAGGTTGGGGGCATCGCTGAAGTTCACTGCCAGCTTTTATCGACGAAAGACGTGTATGAGCGAGAGCCTGTATGAAAAGTTTTTCTGAAAATATGCCGGGTGTGGAGAGCATCGGCCAGTGTCCACAAGGCCTGGTGGACGGCCTTCAGGCTTAGCGGGATCGTCGTCGAGAATCGGGCTCAGAAGATGAGCACAGTCGCCACGGTGCCCGACCTCATCAATTGCCTTTCATGTCTTTAGATCACCGGGACAACGTGGCCTTCCGGAAATGGACAAGGATCAACAAGGACTACCAATATAGAGCGGAAAGCGCCGTGCGACAATGACGCACGCGCTGGAACCGGATAGAAGAGCTGACTAACGCGTGTGAACTGTGTGCGCTCTCGCTCGCCCCCTGGCCGTGATTACAAAGCTTCCCTTTATGGTAACTCCGCTTCATCTCCGACCCAAATTCAAATATGTGAAGGATTAAATTCTTAAAAGTCGGAATTTCGAGAAAATAATCAGATGGCTCGAAAGCTCTCGTGAAAAGGAATCGATTGGTCTGGTTTTCGGGACCTAAAAGTCTTTTCTCACGATCGTGATAGGATCCGCGGCTCGCCTATTGCCGAGTGGTCGGTTTTGAGCGCCTCACACTGTACAGTCGGAGTGCGTCGGAGACGGTGCTGAGGATGTCGGACGAAGGCGCAGGCGTCGAGATGGTCTGATTTTGGTACCTCGGGGACCTGAACTTACCTCTCCGACATGGTTCGACTGTAAATGATTTTCTGAAAAGGAGGCCCATCGATCTAAAGGGCTGTAGGAACTTTGGCGTTGATGGGAGCAAGCTTGTGACCTTGCTTCCGAAAGACCAGCACGCGGCAATCTTAATCTCACCTACATGTAACGTCCTTTGATACCTTCCTCCGTCTCGCGTAAGGACCCCCGATAATCAGTATAAATGCCTGATCCCGAGGACCCATACATCAGCAAATTGTCCCGCGGCTGGTAGTGGCTGGCGCTTATTCCAGTTATTTTAGCACGTCTACAATCGCATTACCAGCCGAATACCAGACTTGTATTTATGATAAGCCAACCGCCTGTTGAGATACGCTTACCAGAGGATTATCTTATCATTCTATATATATACCCTTAGCAACAAAGCAACCACCGGCGCCTGACTGATGCGCGTCGCCTCACGTGCTAAGTTCAACATGGCGGACTTTGAACTTGACTTAAAAGCGCGCCGCAGTTCGACATCGTCGCTCATCCCCTCTCTCCCTCGTATCACGAATAAGTCCCTTACACAGCTCTAACATGTTTCTGAATGGTGGCATCGACACCTTCTACTATAACTCTCCGCGGGTAAGTTCTCTTTGTGAACCCGTTGCCTCTCCTTAAACCGCCTAAGTACCTTCCTACAGCGCGTGTACGGCGGGGTTGATGCGACCTCGAAGTAGCCCTCATCGTGTATCGACATGTCTTGGTCGTGGGTAAGCCATTTCTCTGTGTTACTGTGTGCCCATATTCATAGGTTCTTAGATTGTCGGAGCAACAAGTCTGAGTCATGCTTGCTAGGTATGTTTCTCATGTTTAGTGACATGACTGATGACTGAGTGTTCTGATCTGTTCTGCAGGTCTACCGCTGCCGGGTTCTATGCATATAAGATGACTAGTGCACCAGGTATGTCTCTCATCTCACCTATCTGGTTTATGTAGTGACATGGCTTGCTTTCCATTGAGTAGGTTGTGTGGAGAGTATGGGTCA